TCAGGTACTGCAGAGACTTTCAGAGGAAATAGAACAGCTGGGCTCTGCGCTTGATGATTTTGCGGTCTTCCTAGGGAGTTGAGACAATAGCCAAAAACTACCCCTGGCACCTCTTCCCACATACCCAACTTTGTGATTCTCATAAATTCTGCTTCATCCTAGGGCAGGAGCCCACAGATCACGGCCTGGCCAGAGCCTGTCATTGTGAATAAAGTTTTCTCCCTCACCCCTACACCCATCACGTACCTGTTGTCTGTGGTTGCTTTTGAGCTACAACAGGCTAGTTGAGTATTTTCCACAAAGACCTTATGGCCCATAAGCCTACAGTATTTCATATGTGGCCCTCTACGGAAAACACCCGGATGAATATAGTGAAGGGCAGTTCAAGTTGAGCCGAAAGCCAGTCTGTGCAGGGTTGTTGAGACTTATTTGTGAAAAAGCTATTTAAAAGTTACTGCACTTGTCCGTCTCTACAGGTTACCTGTTGGGAGGAATTAAAAGCCTAGAAGACCCAGATCTAATACAGTAGCATTGGTTAAATCTGAGAAGGGGGGTGGTTACTTCACATATACCTGTGATGTTTGCAGATTTGTGATGAGTGGGTATGGAGTCCGTAGTTAGAGGACATAAATCCTACAGTCATTCATTTTTTTAACGTTTTAGGAATCGGTAAAATTTTTAAATGCTCCAATAAGATGGTTCTTGTGGTTATAAATAGCTCTGTATGACTGGTCAGGGTCCACGAGACTTGCTGTGAAGAATGGTTATCCTTTAGATTCGGATCCGGGGGACTGGAGCGCAGCTTTAACGAGACGTGTCCCGTGGCTCGCACGCCTGCAGCTTCTGATTCTGGTCGGTCTGAATGTGATGACTGACAACGTGCTCGCTCTCTGCAGTCCTTGCCACTGGGCTTTTCTCTGACAGGAAGGGCGTCTGAGCTCATGTCTCATGGTAAAACACAGAGGGTATGAAACTGACAGCTTTTTGGTGTACAGCTCAGTGACCTGAAGGATGGCTGGTTCTGTGCAGCCACCGTCCGTCGCCAGCCCTGAGCTCAGGTTCGGTCAGACCGCAGACATTGCTAGGTTTTATTTCCGCCTGGGTGTTACTGATGTGAAGTCAGCAGCAGGCCTCCTGGTATCCCAGTAAAGGCAGCACCCGGCCACACCTTACGTTTTGGAAAGCAGGTGCTTTGCTTAGAAAGGAAGCGAGTGCCCTGTGTGCGGCACACCCTTGATCTTGGCGTCAGCTCGTGCTGCCCTGACATCCCAGGGACCCTAAGGTGCACCTGTCATCTTTGTCCAGAAAGTCCTGACCACCCGCTGTGCTGCAGCGGTTTGGAGACCCGCAGGCCAGTCGTTCCAACGCCAGCTAGGTTCTTGGTGGGATACCGAGATGAGCATGGCCCAGCCAGGAGTGACCCTGGGCGTAGCCTGGGGAGTAAGGAGCTCTGGCTTCCGAACCAGCCAGGAAGCAGCCAGGCCTTGGGTGGGGTCTGGCTCTGACGTTTTTAGGTATGGCCTCAGATGAGCCACTCTACCTGTGTAACCGGCATGAGGAATGGTGTTATTCCGGTACCAGCCTCCCAGATCTGAGGATTGAGGGATCCAGTGCCTGGATGCTGGGGGAGGTGGCCGCATACCCTCAGGGGAGCCCTTGGAATGACGGAGCTCAGGGTGGGGAGGGGCTGTGCTTGCCTGGTCCTGCCCCCAGCAGGCCCACGGGGGAGATGGTGGTTGAAGAGTGGCCTTGGCAGGTAGCGGGAGTGTAGGGGAGGGAGGCACGAACAGCAGGGGAGCAGGCAGGTCCCATTCAGTGTGGGACAGAAGGTAAGCAGGGGTGGGAGATGAGCGTGCACATCGGAACCAGGTGAGGCATCTGGAGCTTGCCTCACCGGCAGCGGGAAGGTGGATTGTCGGGTTCTGAGCACCGGAAAGCTTTGGAACCCCAGCTCAGGCTGGGCTGTGTAGGAGACTTGCCAGGTCTGCAGGAGAGGTGGCCAGGCCGTCTCTAGGGGAGTAGTGCCCAGGGGAACAAAGGATGGCAGTGGGCTCTGCAGGAAGGGGATGCAGGGAAGGAAGGGGCACCAGAAAGTGCACCTCCACTGGGAGCTTCCCCAGGAGGAGAGATCGGGCCGTGGAGGAAGGATTGGTTTCCTTTGGAGCTCTTGGGATTGTGGGGCAGGTAACCGGAAGTGCAGCTGGAGAGAAATTGGGGTCGTTTGACCAAAGGGAGATGAAATCGGAGAGTATTTATTGGTAGGAGCAGGTGAAGGGATGCACAAAGAGATGCGGTTAAGAAGGTAGAGGAGAGGGGTCCGGTGGTGGAGGTCCCTGCCCGGCCAGCTCCATGGCGTTTTCAGCTAAGGGTGATCAGAGGGAGGTGAGCCGAAAGAAAGCTGAGGTGGAAAAAGAGTGTACACATGCCCATGCCTCGTGCAAGGTGGGGAGGGGGTGTGGTGCTAGAGTGAGGACCTTAGTTATACAGTTGATTACACTTGATTCAAAGTCTGTTTCTGGAACTGGAATGTTCTGGTTTGAATCCTGGCTCTGCCACTCTTGGACAAATTAGCCTCTCTGTGCCTCCCATTTCCTCACCTGTAAAATGGGTATAATAGCACTTTCTTCATCAACTTGTTGTGAGGATTAATTGGATTAATATATGAAGAGCAGTGAAACAGTGCCTAGCACACAAGTTAAATGGCTCGTAAGTGCCTTTGGGCCCCACTGGGTTGGGGCTGCTTCTAGAGGCAGGATGACCTTGGGAAGCAAACCTACAAGCATTGAGTCAAGCACAGTTTTCCTGGGCCCAAAGAAATTTCAGGTATTTTACTTCAGGTCTTTGGGACCTCTTTGCTAAGGTCCCAACAATTGGAAGACAATAATTCTTTGCATTTGATTGCATAGTGCTCCACATAATATTCCCCTTTCCGATCTTCACAGCAAACCTGTAAGATTGGTGACGGTTATGAGCCGCCATTCACAGAGAGCAGAACTGCTCAGCACAGTTAAGGAACCTGCTCCACGTGCAGTCAGGCTCAGTGTGCACATTGATTGACAGCCTCGTGAGTTCTGAGGATCAGAACCCGGGACTCCTGACCTCCCCGCCACACCCTGCCCCACCTCTGTTCTACCTGACCGTGGAAACTTGGCATTGAAGTAAGAGATGTGGGTTATAAAGGATGAATGGGAACCACACTGCGTTGGGCCTTTACTTTCTATCGTAGCGCTGAGGGCTAAGGAAAGGGAACTGAGACTCCAGACCCCATCCTGTTAGTCATGCTGGAGTTGTGATTTGTTGACTGGGTTTCTGTTACTCCAGTGGGTGACTTGCCAGAGTACCCCAGGCCTGGACCTGCTTGCTCTTTGGGTCTGTTGAGCATTCTGTGAAGTCTAGGGTGGGGTCACTTAAATTTAAATGACATGTATCAGCAGTTATGCCCCCTTAGCAAAAAAGGCAAAAAAGCCTTTTCAAACATCAGTAGATGAATAATTCCTTTTAGTTGGAAAACTGGAGTTTTGGAAAGAGCAGTACTTTCCCTGGAATCGCTAGGTTCATGGCATAATTGCTGCAATTCTTTGTAAATAAAAATGGTGGTGGAATTTTGCAACTTCTTGCCAAAGGTTTGATATGTGGCATTGTTGACTACTTGTCACTTGCTCCTTTGTATAATTTCCCTTCCTTGTGACCTAAACATATGACTTTTAGTGAGTCCAGATAGGGTTAAGTCATAGTTTCTGTTTTAAAATATCTGAAGAATGAGGGGTGGCTCCGTTGGTTAGGCACCTGACTCTTGGTTTCAGCTCGGGTCGTGATCTCAGGGTTGTGGGATGGAACCCCATGGCAGGCTCCACAGTCAGTGCGGAGTTTGCTTGGGATTCTCTCCCTCTCCCTCTCCCTCTGACCTTCCTGCGCTCGCGCTCTCTCGCTCTCTCTCCCAAATAAATAAATAAATTTTAAAATATCTAAAGAATGAATTCAAAGTAATCCCGACCCCTTCAGTTCCCCGCACATACACAGCCCAGCCTCCTGCGAGCTGTTTTTTTCTTTCATGTTTTTAGCATTTCAGGGGCCTGTAGTGAGATTTGTATCTTGATGCTGGGGACCAGCAGACAGACTGACCTCCTTGTATACGTGTTGGTCATGTGCCACTATGCTGGAGGGAATTCACTCTGTTGCTTCTATTCAGATTTCTTTTTAATGGCTTTTCCATGGGGTGCCTTGGGAGTCATGATTGCTTCTTGATAGCTTTTGTTTCCCTGTGGGACAGATGATTGCAAGCCCCTGCTGGCCCGTGGCCCTGGCCAACGTGGCCAACCTCGCCGATGTGCTGATTCACACTGCACCCTCCTCCCCGTCCAGCCTTGTGACTCTCACGTGGGAAATACGAGTGACTCTTGAGAAACCTCTACTGAAGAGTTGAACATTTTTCTTTTGAGATTGCTGAGGTGGTTTTCCTTAAAGTTAGCACATGCCTTGCTTTCTACTTAAATCTCAAGGACGAGGTGTTTATTCTTGTTCCTTCTTAGGGTTTGTGGGTGTTTTGGGTTTTGCTTTTCATGTTACTCATGATGTGCTGATATTAATAATCTAAATATATATGGAAATGTTCCTTCGTTATTTGGCGCTTATATAGTTTCTTATGCATATGTACAAAAATAGTGCCTTAATAATTGCAGATTCACATATTATCTTGCTTTCTTTCCTCTACACTGATTCTTAGTGATCCCTACAGGGAGCTTCCCATCATCAGCAAATTAGCAGGAAGTAGAAATCATGTAAATAATTTCTAGGACCTTCCTTCACTGACTGACTTGACAAGCCCATTCTGGGCATCTGGTCTATTTTAATATTTTTTCGAAACGTTAACTACCCACTGCCTCTTGCTGCCACTTCATTTTGCGGGTAATGTTGGAAGGTCGTGTACTGGTGCTTTCGCTGTTGAAATTTCCTTTAGCCTTTGAGGCCCTGATGGATGACCTTTTGTGTCGGCTCTGTAGGTGTTGGCACGGTCCTGCGTGTGGTATGGAGAGTGTGGAATTGCATCTGGAGACAAGAGGTACAACTGCCAGTACTCGGGGCCACCAAAACCCTTGCCAAAGGACGGGTATGACTTAATGCAGGTAAGTTTGTCGTCCCAGGCACTGGGAACACAAAATGCTAATCCAAGATCCTCTGTAATGATCCCGTAAATATCTCAGTGGGGTGGGGCTGAAACTAACAGGCTTAATTAAGTCTTATCCCAAATGCTTATCTGGGGCACACAATGGCACAGAAGATAATATAACTCTGGGGCTGGAGTTTCTCTGGGGCTGACTTTTTGCCTTTCTCATAGTTTCCTCATAGCAGGTTACTATTTAGGGACTGATCTTGGTACCTCACATGTTGCTCTTTGCAACTTCTTCTTTTTTTTTTTTTTTTTAAAGATTTTATTTATTATCTGACAGAGACACAGCGAGAGAGGGAACACAAGCAGGGGGAGTGAGAGAGGGAGAAGCAGACTCCCTGCTGAGCAGGGAGCCCGACCCAGGCTCGATCCCAGGACCCTGAGGTCATGACTTGAGCCCAAGACAGACACTTAACTGACTGAGCCACCCAGGGGCCCCAAATTTGAAAACCTTTTAAAAGAATCCTGCAAGAACTTTGCAAACACGTTTCTTACTCTTGCGTACCTAAAAAAGGACTGTGTGAATAAAATTGCCTTATTTCATTGAGAAATGTGTGTCCTTATTTGACTTTCTGCTGTGATAACCATGCTTTCTCACCCAAAAGGAGCTCTGCCCAGGATTCTTCTTTGACAACGTCAGCGTGTGCTGTGACGTGCAGCAGCTGCAGACCCTGAAGGACAGCCTGCAGCTGCCCCTGCAGTTTCTGTCCAGGTAGGCTGGCCGCCCCGCACGCACACAAAAACGGGTTTGGAGTGCTTGTTAACCAGGGACATTCTGATTTCCTCCTAAGTTAGTTTTCATGTTATTTCAAGAAAGCAATCTTAGGACTTCTCAGAAATCAAGCATAATTTCTCGATAAAGTAATAGTTGGCTGACATCGTTTTCTTCCCAGTTCCATGCAGAGCTGAGGCGTGGGCTTCCTCTAGGTCGCCCCCCCGCCCCCAAGGGTGTCTGCACTGTGGAGTGGGTCCTTTCACTCTTGAGCCTCTGGGTGCTCTGCAGAGGAGGAGAGGTTGTTCTGGTGGTCCTGCCATGTCTGTGACCTGAGACCCTCCTCCACAAGGTCCTCTGTGTGGCTGTCCTCCCCTCCCCACCCCTGGATGGCACGTGGTTCTCTCCCCCTGCAGTGACATGAGATGCTAGAGTCCCAGTCCTCCTTAGAGCTGGCCTTTGGTAGCTGTTAACAAGATTGTTCTGGCAGAGTTGGCTGGGTTTGTCAAAATTAGTCCACCATCCAGGCCATTCTCTATGACCAGGGCCGTGAAAAGGGTTGCATGATAGGTGTTCTTCTCGAAGCTTACCCAGCAGTTCTCAGATGTGCAGAAGAACAAGCTGGTGGGAGTCTGTAGAATAGCACCTCATGGTATCGTTCTAAATTTTTCACTGAAGCATCCTGATAAAGGTGGATGGGAGGGACATGGGAAGAGGGGAAGCCCTTCTCTGTGCACATATCATGGCGGGTGACAGGACAGTCGGCATCCACTAAGGAAACCCTGCTTCTTCCCAGAAGTTTAAATTGGCAATACAGGGTGGAAACCACCCCTAAACTGTCCTTTTAGGACAGCATACCATATAGGAGATCAATAAGTTGAGAACCTAATCAGTCCAGCATACCCCCTGGAGGGCTAGTGGATATTGATGGAACCATCATTCAGTCAGAATACATTTATTTAGCACCCACTCTAGATGAGGCATTATGGACATAAGGATAACCAAGATCAGAAGATAACCAAATTTTCCCCGTGTCATCAGCTCTATTTTTAATAGCAAATAATGAGAAGCTAAGGAATATTGTGCATCTGTCGAAATCGATGATTGCGGAGATTAAACGTAGTAACGTGGCAAGAGTTTGTGATCCATAGAACGTGGTAGAAATCTGCACCCCAGGAGCAGTTTCCATTAGGATGGTGTAATTGTGGTTCCTGTGCTTGTCACGGTAAAGCACGGGACTCCTGAAAGCGGGTCAGTGTGCATGTCTGCTCCCTCACTAGACCAGGGGCATTGAAGGCTGGGACCACCTTCCCTGTTCTGTGTCCCTGGCACCTGCATGGGATCAGTCAAGAGTGACTACGATTTGGTTGTGCTGCGGGAATGCGGGTCTAATGAAGCAGCAGCTTTTGCAGATAACAGTGAACCCAACTGGGGAGACAGTTCTGCCACCCAGTAAGTCAACATTAGGAGCTTCAGCCATGAACCTGAAGGAGAGCAGACAGCTTGTAGTTCTCATGAAAATCCGTGTGCTTCTGCAGTGCATACAGCCAGAGAACACCACCACTGTCCTTTAGCCTCTCAAGCCCTGGGGAAATCCTCTTGTGTTTAGAGAGGGCCAAGGGATTACCTGGGGCTTGAAGAAAGCCCTTCAGTAGGAAGGTGAACATTCTAACGTGTGAATCTCATTTTTCCCTTGTTTTTCTTCTTCGTAAGAATTGTCAGCGTGACGGTCCCTAGTCCCTTTAGCTTCAACACAAAACATGTCCATAAATTACAAAGCACAGAATTCAGAAAAGCATTTTTCTCTTTCTGAAATTATACCTCGACAACATATGTGTAATAATTAGGGCAGTTTTTTAAAGAGATCTCTGATTTTAGGTTTAGAATGGCTGGGTTAAAGATGTCTGTAGGTAATTTGTCACTTTATAATAGATTTTAAATGTTCTTTATCATAAATCATGTTTTTGCTGGCCCTGTTTGTGAGATCAGACAAAATACAGTTTACTTTTTCTTTAGATGTGCATCCTGTTTTTATAACCTAATGAACCTGTTTTGCGAGCTGACATGTAGCCCCCGGCAAAGTCAGTTTCTGAATGTTACAGAAACTGAAGATTATGTTGATCCTGTTACAAACCAGACGAAAACAAACGTAAAAGAATTACAGTACTATGTCGGAGAGAGTTTTGCCAATGGTGAGTAAACTTCTAATTATTTCTTTTTTTGTAGTTGGTATCAGGACAGTGGATTCAGTTGTTCCTTTCAGTTGTCAGCTGTATGAAAATGATAATTTTTAGTTCTGTTGGCCATGAAACACGAGTTGCTGCTTCATGTGTATCTAGGACTTGAGCTACAGCCCATAAAACAATCTCTTTAAAGTATTTGCTTAGCTCCTTCCTAACTGTAAGTTCCCACATAGAAATTTTTAGTGCATGTGTGTTTATTTCTGTACATTTTGGAAGCCATTAGAACTTTGTTTCTAGTGGACGTGAATTGTGTAACTTCACAAGTTTTTGCAAAACCTGAGAAGAGGGTGTGGGAGGGTAAAGTAGAGGAGGGGAGATTTGACTCTGAAGAAACCCATTACCATAAGGGAGAAAGAGAAGAGAAGAAACACATTACCAGCAGGAGAAAGAGATCTGTAACACCTAGAAATCATGGGACAATCTGAGAAAGACCATCTAGCGTTTGTTGAAAATGATTGAAATGAAAGAGTTCTGATGTTAAGGATGTTAAGGGCAGTGAGGCTTGTTTTATACTGTAATGGTGGGTACAAGTCATGATGCATTTGCCAAAACTCATAGAATGTACTACACCTAGTGTGAACCCTAAAATAGACTATGGACTTCGGGTGACAGTGATGTGTTATCATAGGTTCTTCAGGTAACAAATGCACCACTCGGGTGCTGTTGATAGTGGGGAGGTTGTGCTTGTGTTGAGGCAGGAGTTATATGAGAATTCTGCTCGGTTTTACTGTGAATCTAAAACAACTCTTTTAAGAAGTCCATTAAAAAATAAAGAAATAGGGGCACTTGGGTGGCTCATCAGTTGAGCGTCTGACTTGGGCTCAGGTCATGATCCCAGGGTCCTGGGATTGAGCCCTGCCTCAGGCTCCGCACTCAGAGGGGAGTCTGCTTCTCCCTCTGCCCCTCCCCCAACTCATGCTCGCTCGCTCTCTCAAATAAATAAAATCTTTAAAAAATAAAAAATAAGTAATTGGAGGCACTAAATGCTAACTAAGAGGAGAATGGATAAATACAACGGAGCATAGTCACAGTCTATAATAGAATACTTAAAACTGTTAAAATGTATGAATTATGTCATTCAACTTGAATGACTTAAAAAATTGAAAATAAGTTACAGGATATATGTAGCATGTTGTTTACATTAAATAGTACTGAATATCTATGGATACAACATATCATGAAAGTGTACAAACCTGCATAGGAAAGATAAACATCAAATTCAGGTTGTGGTTTACCTTCAGGAAGGGTGAGTATTCGTAGGGAAGGGTATTCAGGGGAACTTCAAATAGGTGAATTGTATGGTAGGTGAATTATATTTCAGTAAAGTTGTTAAAAAAATCCATATGTAAATACAGCATGGAAAAACTATAAAACTCCAAGACAAGTATCTTAAAAAGAAGTAGAAAAAAGATAGAAATCGTTTTAAAAGAATGCCATGTGGAGATTTTCTTACCAGCAGTGACAGAGGCCAGAAGGCAGTGGAATCATCATAGTTCTAAGTCACTCTACCCGAACTGCGTTTCAAGAGTGAGGGTAAAACACGATGAATTTATTAAGTATCTCCTTAAAGTTTAGGGAGGAAGATCCTGGGAAGTTTCTAACAAGTAGGTGTGGTGTCTAAATGGGGTGTCTCTTGATTGGATGGGGGCCCTCAAATGTGGGACAAGGACCAGCTGGAAGCTGGTGGCAGGGGCAGTGAAAAAAAATCACCTGAGGCAGAACAAAGGGGAGGGTGGGGGCGTGGGGGAACAGCAGGCTGGGCGGCCCAGGAGAGGCTGACTGCAATGAGGCAGTGGGTGGGGGCTGTTTTTAGAGGGGGAATATGAGGAGGTATGGCGAGTATGGAATTCTCCCTTTTTTGGTAACTGTGCCCGGTTGTAAGTAGCCCATTGGTCCGTTAGGGTTTATGGATATTTGGAGGTGGGTCACCTGATGGGCCCTTTCTACTTGCCACTGCTCAAGCCTGTGTGCCTGAAGGCGGCCTCTGCAGTAGGGACTGGTAAATGAATGTTAATACAGGACCCATTACTACTACTTTTTTTTTTTTTTTAAGATTTTATTTATTTATTCATGAGAGAGAGAGGCAGAGGCAGAGGCAGAGGGAGAAGCAGGCTCCCCACCTAGCAGGGAGCCCGATGCAGGACTCCATCCCAGGATCCTGAGATCACGACCTGAGCCAAAGGCAGACGCTTAACCATCTGAGCCACCCAGGCGCCCCCATTACTACTGCTTTTTAATGTGCAAAAGGTCATTGACATTGTCCCATGTTTTGTGTATTGTCTTTATGTGTATTAGAATGGAGCCAAAAGAGAGGGTCCGTATTAGGTCATTCACATGTGGCCTGTGCCCTAAAATCAGTTTCCTCCGTAAGTTCCAGACTCTTCAGCCATAGGGCTTCCTGCCTCAGATTTCTGGAACCAGCTTCACTGGCTGAAAAGGCACCAGGGTTCGTTCTTCTCCTTTCTCAGCCTTCGTACATTCGTCTCTGCAGTGGTGATAAGACTCCTCTGAGCTACGTGGGATGACGTAAAGCCTTTCCCGTGTCTTTTCTCTGTTTAAGTCACTTGGAATCTAGCCCAGCATATTATGGGCAGGGTGATAAGTCTGTGTCAAGGGTAATCTCCACTCCTGCCCTGAGTGTTTACTGTGTCTCGCCCACCAGCCCATGACTTCTGAGCGCGGTGCAGATGGCCGCGCCCGCATTCAAGGAACCTTTTGTAAGTTCTCCCCCAGTGACTAAAGCAGTGTGGTGTTTCAGCCCTTTCCCCTCCTTCCTCTGCCAGCCATGTACAACGCCTGCCGGGATGTGGAGGCCCCCTCCAGTAATGACAAAGCCCTGGGGCTCCTGTGTGGGAAGGACGCCAAAGCCTGCAACGCCACCAACTGGATCGAGTACATGTTCAATAAGGACAACGGCCAGGCGCCTTTCACCATCACACCCATTTTCTCAGGTAGACTGCCAAGTTTGGCGCATTTATGATGTGGCTTTAGAGCCCAGGAACCTTAGTCTGCAACAGGAAGATAAATTCAGATAACTAGTTCCTGGACTTTCTCTCCAGTGAGAGAGGTAACTAGAACATTCTCTCCCCACCCCCTGGTTAATTTAGGGGCTGGCAGTGAGCACGGAGGAGGAGGAATTGCCTTCAGGTGCTGCTACCCAATTGAAAGAATGAGCCTGGGTTTTTGTTTTGTATTTTTTAAAAGCCAGAGCATTAGGGAGGCCTTTTAAGGAGCCCCGCAATCCGGTTAGACTCACTCCTTGATGGAGGTTTACTGTGGAATGTGGGGTACTCCAATCTCAAGGACTTGTGCCCGAAGTTATTGGAAGGAACTCAGACTTTTACAGGACGAGGCAGCAAAACATCGTGTGATCAGATGGAAGCCTCTGTCCTTTTTGCTCTTACGGTGGTGGTCCGTGTGTCACCAGTGCGCTCCATCACTGGGTTCCAATATCATCGAACGCACACTTTGTCATTTGTTTTACTGAGCTATTCACTCAAGCCCATGCTCCCTGCAGATCTTCCGGCCCATGGGATGGAGCCCATGAACAATGCCACCAAGGGCTGTGATGAGTCTGTGGACGACGTCACGGGGCCATGCAGCTGCCAGGACTGCTCGGCCGTGTGTGGGCCCAAGCCCCAGCCGCCGCCCGCTCCAGCTCCCTGGAGACTCTTGGGCCTGGACGCCATGTACGTCATCATGTGGACCACCTACATGGCGTTCTTGCTCGTGTTTTTTGGAGCATTTTTTGCCGTGTGGTGCTACAGGTGAGCAGTGTTGTGTGATCCGCAGGGTGAGGAGCATAGGTGATCCAAGTGGCACTCCCAGCTTTCGCCTGGCAGTCCTTGGTTAATTAAACCAAGAAACAAGGATCACGTGAGTACACTCCATGATTTGCTTAATTAGTAAGCAAAGACCTGGTTAGACATTTGAACATTTGAAGTTGGTTTCATTGATTTATTCAAAACGATGAGTGAGTTTTATTTTTATTTATTTTTTTAAGATTTTATTTATTTATTTGACAGAGAGACACAGTGAGAGAGGGAACACAAGTAGAGGGAGTGGGAGAGGGAGAAGCAGGCTTCCTGCCAAGCAGGGAGCCCGATGCGGGGCTCGATCCCATGACCCTGGGACCATGACCTGAGCCGAAGGCAGACGCTTAACCGACTGAGCCACCCAGGCGCCCACGATGAGTGATTTTTAAAGCACTGTGCATTACCCACCCACTCTTTAACAGAAAGTCTTAAGAGCTGAATCTGATTAAAATCTAATTAAATGCAGTACTGTCTGCAGTCCTTTTAGATATTCGCATCTTGATTAGGAAGTACGTTTTCTTTATCAAGTATCACCAGGAAAATCTCTGCTGCCCTTGTTCTGTTTAGGACCCCACTCCACATTCCCCTTCTTTTCATTACTTTCCCCCAGTCTGTGACAGATTTTCTGGAATTTTTTTATGGCCTGGACACTTTTGATGAGTACTGGACAGTTATTTTGTAAAATGTCCCTCAGGCTTTATCTGATCAGATCTTTATCTGATCTCGCGATCAGATTGAGGTTATGTGTTTGTGACAAGAGTATCAGAGAAGTGATGCGTCTTTCTCAGCATCTCGTTTCGGTGCTACACGATCTCGATAGGTCTCTTCACTGGTGATATTAACTTTCGTCACTGGGTGAAGAGGGTGTCTGCTGGGTTTCTCTCCTGTAGAATTGCGGCTTCTTCCTTTGGAGTTGATCAATATCCTAAGGGAGATAGGTCAAAACTGGGCTGATACCTTGTTTCTCCTAAAACTGTCCACTGATTGTAGCATCCACTGGTGGCTCTTGTCTGCGGCGGTTACTGCTGTGGTGTTTGCCCGATGGTGATTGGTGGTCTGGTTGTATTTCTTCTACCTTTACTAGTTGGACTTACTCTGTACACACAGTTATCCTTCCTGCTCTACTTCATTATTGATTCAATTATATTTATATCATGGACTTTTTTTTTTTAGTTTTGTCGGCTCTATCCAACACTGTCCTTTGTTTTGTTGCTCAGATTCTTCCAGTTTTGACCATTGAGAGCGCCTTCTGGTTGACTCCTGTGTTTTGTTTTGTTTTTAACATGCCCCACCTTTCTCAAGCGTGTACTTAGTTTCTGGAATCACAAGATGTTCCAGACTCATCTTGTATTTTCCCTGCCCCAGCCCTGGAATCCACCTCTTCCACAGGGAGCCCTCGGTCCTTGTGTTGTAGACTGATGTAGACTGATGTTTAGAACGGTGCTCTAGGCACTAGGTATGCGAATTGCCATTCGCTGCTTTTAAAGGACCTAAAGTTTTAAACCTAAATGAAGGCTACAAGGTGAAACTATCCTTTATTAATCTGTTTTTTAAATACCTTCTTAGGGGCGCCTGGGTGGCGCAGTCGGTTAAGCATATGACTCTTGATTTAGGCTCAGGTCGTAATCTCAGGGTGGTGAGATTGAGCCCCACATCGGGCTCCGCCCTCAGTGTGGAGTCTGCTAAAGTTTCTCTCTCCCTCTGCCCTTCCCCCTGTCTCTGTGCTCACGCTCTCTCTTGCACTCTCTTTCTCAAATAAATATCCCCCCCCAAAAAAAATACCTTCTTAAATTTTCTCCTGAGAGTGGTGAGCAGGACTTAGAGCAAGGGAACCTGTGGGGCGGGGGGCAGCGGTTCAGGAGGAAGAGGACAGAATGAGGAAGTAAGCTTTTAATGGGGTTACAGGACTGTTAGAAAAACAGCCTCATTATGTCAGAGGTCCACTGATACTACTTATGTGCTTTTATTTTTCAGAAAGCACTATTTTGTCTCCGAGTACACGCCCATTGATAGCAACATCGCTTTCTCTGTAAATGCCAGTGACAAAGGTAGGCGCATCTGTACTTACACGGTTAGGAGTGCGTGGGCTCCAGTGTTGGTCTCCTCCGCAAGCGTCTATGCACCGGTCTGGGCCAGGCAGTGTGCCCATGTCAAGGACATGGCTGTGATCCAGACAGACGGGTCCTGGCCGTGCTGGCAGACGGGAACAAGTCCTGAGTAACCGTAGTAGGACAGTTAGGCACGGGGGCAAGAGCCGGAGGGGCTGGTGGAACAGGCGGAGAGCAGGTGTAGCCGCAAAGCTGGCTGGGACCCGCTGTGGACAGAGCGCTCAGAGCACTGTGCCCCTGAGCGAGCATCGCTCCTCGGGCGGGGGGGGGACGGCTGTCACGGTGGGCAGGCAAGCAGGGTGCCTTCCTGAGCAGCTAGGTGCTGAGGGTCAGGGTGGGGGGAGCAGCGCAGGACCCCGTGCCACCCCTGGTGCGGGCACAGTGCCCGCCCATGTGGCAGTAGCTAACGCTTTCCCTGTTCCGGCTTTCAGGAATGGCTTGGCTCTTAACCTCCACCCTCCCTTCCTCTCCCGCTCTTCCAGGGGAGGCGTCATGCTGCGACGCACTCAGTGCGGCATTCGAGGGCAGTCTGAGGCGGCTCTTCTCCCAGTGGGGCTCTTTCTGCGTCCGAAACCCAGGCTGCATCATCTTCTTCTCCCTGGCCTTCATCGCCGCCTGTTCGTCAGGCCTGGTGTTTGTGCGGGTCACGACCAACCCAGTGGACCTGTGGTCCGCCCCCGGCAGCCGGGCGCGCCTGGAGAAAGAGTACTTTGACACGCACTTTGGGCCCTTCTTCCGCACGGAGCAGCTCATCATCCAGGCCCCCCACACCAGCGTGCACACTTACCAGCCGTACCCCTCAGGGTCCGACGTGCCCTTCGGGCCCCCGCTCGACGTAGGAATCTTGCACCAGGTAATGTGCTCTTAGCAGAAATCAGTCCCGGGAGTCCAGGGATATGCTAACTGGCTTTTCCATGTGGACCAGTTCTGCCTGATGTCAGAATGAGGCTGAACGTAGTGAGAAAGCTTGAAAATCTCAACAGTGAAAAAAGGAAAGGTGCTTTTCGTTTACTTTTTCAAGAAAGTAAACGGTGGATGTTGAACTTTATAAGAAATTGACTGTAGACTGCTTGTGTATTTACTTCATATAGCAGGGCTGGCTTCTTTCTTGAAATTGAGATGAACATTTCTCCATTGAAGCAGAATGTATAATTTACCTTAGTAAATTTTTCCCTTGGTAATTGAAAAGTAATGTGCCAGGACCCCAAGGAATGAAGCCTCTTATGCTGTGCTGGGGGTCCAGGAAGGAGCTACTGCTGACCCCCCCCTGCAGGAATGAATTTTTCATTGCCTGAATGTGGGCCCCAGCCTGCCTTTGGTAAGAGGTGCATTCGGAATGAGATCCGTCCCGTTCTCTTACAGAGGCCTCGAAGCCTTCCCATTTTCCCTGGTCACACTTGCCCTGGAGAACTCGGTCTATGAATAAATGGCATCCCACGGATTTTTTTTGATGAGCAGTTGCACAATCACGTGATTTTTCTTTGAAATATGGCTCTTGCCTACAGAAAGTCTTTTATCTTTTTTTTTTTTTTTTAAAGATTTTATTTATTTATTTGACAGAGAGACACGGCAAGAGAGGGGGAGTGGGAGAGGGAGAAGCAGGCTTCCTGCTGAGCAGGGAGCCCGATGTGGGGCTCGATCCCAGGACCCCGGGATCATGACCTGAGCTGAAGGCAGACGCTTAACGACTGAGCCACCCAGGTGCCCCGAAAGTCTTTTGTCTTAAGAAATATCAAAATGGTCTCAAGACTTCAGAATTTTTCCTTTTTTTTTTTTTTTTAAGATTTTATTTGTTTATTTGACAGAGTGAGAGAGTATAAGCAGGGGGAGTGGCAGGGAGAGGGAGAAGCAGACACTCCGCTAAGGCTGAGCAGGGAGCCCCATAAGGGATCATGACCTGAGCCAAAGGCAGACGCTTAGCCAACTGAGCCACCCAGGTGCCCTGTAGCAGAATCTTTTCTCCACCCAGTGACTGTTGCTTTTTCCCAACTTGTTCTAAAAGATGCACAATGTAGTCATTTACCTCCCGAAACGTATTCTGTGTTAGGAAATACGGGCATATATGTAAGTTTGACTGTAGCACAGAGCAAGGAGTAGCGGGCGTTTTGTTGGTAAGAGGGTGTGATCGGGAGGTCCGGGCACATCGGCCCTGTGGCTCACCGCTGTGGGGGGGCGGGGAGGGGGGGATGTTTGTGTGTCCTGCATTGAGTTCTGTCCTGGTGACAGTGTCCCCTGCCGCCTCTCGGACGCCTCTCAGCAGGGTCTCTCTCCCAGCTAGCTGTCTCTAAGAGGGGGCTCCTGGTGCCGTCAGATACGTTACCACAGCACGTCTTAATCCTCTTCCTTGTGTGAGGAAGCATTTTCCCCAAATACTTTTTATCTTCTGACCTGTCAGGGCAATAATGATTAGTCACAATCTGAGAGAAATCTGATGTGTTTCTGGATTTGTTTTTAAAATCTTCTTTCAGGTTCTTGACTTACAAACCGCCATTGAAAATATCACGGCGTTTTATAACAATGAGACTGTGACACTTGGAGACATCTGCGTGGCCCCCCTCTCACCCTATAACAAGAACTGCACCATTATGAGCGTGTTAAATTACTTCCAGAACAGCCATTCCATGCTGGACCACAAAATAGGCGATGACTTCTTTGTGTATGCAGATTACCACACGCACTTGCTATACTGTGTACGGTACGTGACGGGAGATGGTCATTCATTCATCCCACTGACCTGGGAGCACTTGCTGTCGCTACACACGGTTGTTCGTGCCAGAGACCCAGCAGTGAGCACACAGCATGTCCCTGCCCTGTGAAGCACACGTTCGAAAGCAGGGAGACTGGCACTGAATAAATAGATGTATGCTCGTGCCAGGTAGAGATGAGAGCTTTGGAGAAGTTAAGCCCGGCAAGGAGATGAGTGCAGTGGGGGTGTGCCGCTTTAGATGGAGTGGACACCTGCTCGCACGGAAGGGAGAGGAGGGAGCCTGTGAATATCAGAGGGAAAAGTGTTCCAGGTACACAGGCTGCAAGTACAAAGGTCCTGGGGTGGGAGTGTTCATAGTGTATAAACTGAGCCTTTAACTCATGCCTGGAATGAAAACACATAGTTGCATCTGCCATACCACCAGTGGTATCGTAGTACAAAAACAGAAGCCTGTAGTGCTTTTTCCTGTCTTAAAAATAGGAATTCATACCATGATATCAAATTGTTTTTAAAATGTTGGGGCACCTGGGTGGCTCAGTCAGTTAAGCTTCCAGCTCTTGGTTTCAGCTCAGGTCATGATCTTGGGGTTGTGAGAAGAAGCCTCACATCAGGCTCCACATTCAGCGTGGAGTCTGCTGGAGATTCTCTTCCTTTCCCTCCACCCCTCTCATGCATTCACGTACACACATACATCCTGTCTCTCAAAATAAATGAACTAAAATGTGCAGTGTCCCCTTGAGAAGTGAGGGTAGGATTGGTGCGCAGTTCAGACTGGAGGGCGCTGAAGCGGCTTCCCGTTGGAGGCCCATCTAGCTGGGCAGGCTGCAGTTATCATTTGCATTAGTCACAGTGCTTGGTGACTGTGACGTGATGTTTAAGTCTGTGCCCATGGCAGGGAGAGCAGCCTGCACTTGATAGGCCTGCTGTCCCTGAATGCACTCACGTGGCCAGGAGACAGTCGTTCGGCCAGTCAAACAGCCACCATGGCTGTTGGGTCACTTTGGGGACAGAGAAATTATTCCTTGTCATTTTTTAAAAAGATTTTTTGTTTATTTTAGAGAGGACGAGAGTGTACACGCGAGTCGGGGGAGGTGCAGAGAGACTCTTTCGAGCAGACTCCCCGCTGAGCCGGACGTGGGGCTCGATCCCACAACCCTGAGATCATGACCTAAGCCAAAGCCAGGAGTCAGATGCCCAGCTGACTAAGCCACCCAGTGCCCCTATTCCTTGTCACTTTTGAGTGTGCAGTCAACTAACCACATCTCTGGAGGCAGCCACTCTGACCTCTGGTCTGGTCTGGTGGCCTTAAGCTCTGTTCTGTTTTTGTTACTGGGATGTGATCTTGAGGTGCTTAGGCTGCATTTGCTCTGTTTCCTAAAACAGTAATGGCATGCCCGTATACGCTAAACCAGCGTTCTCCACAGGATAGATGGTACAGGGCAGCCATGGGCAGTTTGAAAATTGAACAATTTATATTCTTCAATTTTTATATTTAAAGGGAAAAGCTCTTTACTTTCTGTCTTACAAAATGGAAGTCAACAAGATTTTGGCAGAGAGGATGATGCAGGAGGCTAGTGTTTTATCCAAGGGGAGATGGGTTCAGGTCGGTGCAGAAACACTGCTGTGGGCCGCTTCGCTCCCACCCGCGGATCTCTGTACTTCCGTGTCTCCGGCTCTCACCTCCCTCCCCAGCTTTTCGTGGGCTTTGCCCCCAGAGGTCCTGCGGGCCTGGCAAACCCGGCGCACCCAGAACCAAGCACAGATCTCCTTCTTCCCCCGTATCCCCTGTATCGTGTGATGGCACTAACATCTACCAGTTACTTAAACTCGAGGCTGTATCTCTTCGTCCTTCCTCGTCCGTACCTCCCTTCTGTAATTCTTACGGATTTTAGCCTCTGGATGAGCTCTCAAATCCATGATGTGGTGGCAGGGTCCCATGTGTGGGCTGATGGGACTTGGCCTCTGGCTACATCCCTGCAGCGTGTTTGCCCCACACGGGTGGCCTGACCTCCAGTCGGAGCCCATTAGCCACGGGCTCTGAAGGGCCGAGCTTCGGCTCATCTGTGAGAACCTTCCTGAGTGCCCAGCAGAGGTCTGGCTCAGGATGTGTTCTGGAATGCTGGTCCCCCCACTGGCTGTCTTCACAGCACCACCCTTGCCTGGACCCTTGCACGAACCTGACTGGTCTGTGGGCTTTTCCTCCTCTTTCCGTCCCACTTCTAGACCTTCTTCCATTTTACCACCTGAGTTATCTGTGTAAAACAGCTCATGACATCCTTTTCTCCCAGGTCTCTAATTGCTCCCCAGTGCCTGAAGGGTAATAATCCAAACCCTGCAGCAGGGCACTTAATCCTTTTTTTCATTGTCTGTCCCTCACCCTTTCCAGCCCTGTCCCTTCCCTCAGAAGTCCTCCCCTTTGTAGGCGCCCCATGCTCTAGACAGGACTTGGTGTGGCTCCTCACACGGCCATCTTGTTGCTCTCTTCTCCCACGTCCCTGTTCTCATTCTTTCTTCTCTTCCCATGTTGCGGTTGTAAGAGCACCTTCAAACCACCCCCCAGGTGAATCCCCCCCCAGCCTTAGAGACCTACTTCCGTACAGCCTCCTCTTTTTGGCGGCAGTCTTCTCTGTGTGTTAGCTGCTCCCTCGTCTGCGCCATGCACTGCGTGAGCTCTGTTCCCGTGTGCGCCGTGCGCTGTGCTGTACTGACCGCATCGTGCTGAGTTGGCGTGAGTCTGGCTCCCAGAGGCACATGCTGGACTGCATTACTCACCTAAGGAACCACAGGGCCCACGTGGTGCTTAGGATATCATCGGCGTCTTTAAGTGTTCGTTGTGTAAATGTTTAGGTCTCTGTGATGTCTTGAGGCTTGTTCTAACTGGGAGGTGTTTTCTAAACCACTTCACAGGGCTCCTGCCTCTCTGAATGATACCAGTTTGCTCCATGATCCTTGCCTGGGTACGTTTGGTGGGCCAGTGTTCCCGTGGCTTGTGTTAGGAGGCTATGACGGTAAGTAAGAGAAGCTTCTGCTTTTCCTGTTAGATAAAGTAGTCTTGGTTTTGTCACTAAGAGTCAAGTGGTAATTATCCCAGGTGTAGGCTTGCTTTGGGCTTTGGCTTTGGGTTTCCTTTTGAGTTTAAAAGAAGGAGATGATGCACACTTTGGGAAGCTGTCAAAAGCCAAGGATTTTTGACCAGAATATTGCATTTGTGCACCTCCACATAACTCATTGTTCAGTTTCAAGGAGTTCAGGGAACCCTTAGGGAGTCTGTGGACCTCAGGTTAAGAACATCTGTGGGGCTCCTGGGTGGCTCAGTCGGTTAAGTGTCTGCCTTCGGGATTGAGCCCTGTGTCCGGCTCCCTACTCAGCAGAGAGCCTGCTTCTCCCTCTCCCTCTGCCTGCCACTCACCCTGCTTGTGCTCTCACGCTCTCTCTCTCTCAAATAAAATCTTAAAAAAAAAAGTCTGTAATGGGAGTGATATAATATGTGAAATATGGGAAAAAAGAAACAAAGTTGTTCTGTGTTTTCTTCCTAAACCAGTTGGTTAAGAATTGAGACACTTCTGTAGGGGGAGGAGTAGTGGGTTTGTTCTTTGCTGGTTGGTTCCTGTAGCACCTGGAACAGACTGTACCAGGTATGATGGGGTCATGATTCAGGTGACAACTTTGGCATCAGAAGCCTAATTATAGGCAGCTCAACAGGTTTTTCTCCAGCTCAAGGAAGAGGCCAATTAGATGTTGTTCTCCTCACCCAATAGGAAGGGATAAGTCCTATCTATATTTAAATTTTACTCTGCCTCATAAAATGCCACTTCTGATCCGTGGGGAAAAGATGGTGTCACCAACTGGCAAGCCACAGCCATCAAAATTAAATTTGATCTCTACCTTATTCCTTCCATCCACATAAACTCCAGATGTGTCAAAAACAGATGTATAAGAAGTGAAGCTATTAAAGATCTAGAAGAAAATACGGGAGGAATTTTCAGAAATAATTTTAAAATGGAGAAGGCATTTTCTAAGCGAGACACAAAAAACCCAGAAGCCACAAAAGGAGACATTGATGAATTTGACTACATAAGAATTTAAAATTCCTATGTGGAAAAGAAGCATCATAAACTTAAAAAAAAGGGGGGGGGCAACTAAACCAGAGGGGGAAGAAAAACAGTACACATAATGGATAGCGTGTCCTTGATATATAAAGGGCTCTTGTGAAAAAAAGAAAAGGCCAGCAACCCAGAAGAAAAGTGGGCAAAGCCATATGAAAGTTAACAAAAGAACAAATACACAGGGCTGTTCATTATATGGGGGAAATGCCTAACCTCACTCCTAGGTAGTGAAATGCACCTCACTTCAGTCTTTGTATCTAACACAGGGGCAAAGACCTAAGAGTTTGATAAACCCTCTGTGGGCGAACATGATAGGGACCCCATTGTTGGCGGGAGTGTAAATGGTTCCTAGAATGTAAGCTCCAGGAAGGCAGGGATTTTCCTCTTTTGTTCACTGATACATATCCAGAGTACCTAACGTAATTAATGCCTGGCACGAAGCAGGGTCTCAGTAAATGTCTTGCTGAATAAAGAAATGAAAAAGAGGATAGCCTCTTTGAAGGGCAGTTTGGGGGAATTTATCAAAATTACAATTGCACATACCTTTTGATTCAGTGCTTCTACTTATAAGAATTGATTCTCCAAATATGTACTTCACACATGAAAAGTATTTCCCAGGTTATTCTTTGTAGTACTTTTGTTTATAATTTTAAAAATTGCAAAAATGTCCATCATCTGGAGATTGGTTAAATTATTCTAGAAAATAAGATACAGCAGAAAAAAAGCTCTTTATGTCCTGAAATGGAGCCATCTCCAAGATACAAATTAAAAAATGTAATGTGCAGGACAGCGTGTTGCTAGTCAGTTGGGCGTCTGCCTTTGGCTCAGGTCATGGTCCCAGGGTCCCAGGATCGAGCCCCGCATCGGGCCCCCTGCTCGGCGGGAAGCCTGCTTCTCCCTCTGCCTATCGCTCCCCCTGCTTGTGTACTTGCGTGCGTGCTCTCTCTCACAAATACATGAATAAAATCTTTAAAACTATATATATTAAACTATATAAATATTTATTTTTTTTAAAAAAGGAAAGGGCGAGAGTATATGTGTTTGCTTGAGCATGCATGGAGTGTCTCTGGAAATAGTTCAGATGGTGGGGAGGAGAACTAAGAGCATGGAACGAGGACTGGGGAAGGAGAGTCTACATGGATCACCTTTCTGCTTGAAATTTTTACCACGCACATGCTACATAGTTAAAAAAAGAAGTTACTCATCCTGAATGAAACTGCCCATGTCAGATTCTAGAGCATCCTTTTTATTCATTAACTGAGCTGCACAGACACTATGTCAGTGAACTGGTTTTTGTTCTTAGAGCATAGACTACAGCCCCCGTGAGAAATCAGTCACCTCGTGGTCTCGGGATTTTCCCTCGTGTTTATCTAATTTTCTGCCTGCTTCTCATCTTCTGGATGTCCCATTTTTCCCATTCTAGATCAAAACTACAATAATGCCACAGCCCTTGTGATTACCTTTCCTGTCAATAATTACTACAACGATACAGAGAAGCTCCAGAGGGCCCAGGCCTGGGAGAAAGAGTGAGTTGCTGTCTTTGTTCTGTGGGAAGCTGGGCGCTAATAGAATGCACTGAAACTTCATTCAGCTAAATTAACCAACAACAGATCTAAGTCATTTTTTTTCCTGCTTGGTACTAATGATGCTAAGAAAAACGTCTATAAGGCAGTTCATCCGTAAACGTTGTGTGAATAGATAACCCTGCACAGGAATGCGAAAGTCTACATTCCGTGCACCCATCTCTCACAGCAAGCCAGCGGGAGCAAGCTGGATGCACATTAGTAAGGGACACGCACGGTAGGAAATCCTGGGGTCACTAAAGATAGGTGAATAGATGATTCCAGATGAAGGACATAAAAGCTGCAATCAGCATGCCTAGGGAAATATATGCTGTACATGCTGTCCATCCCTAGAAAAATCTCAAGCACGGGACCCGGGAAATTGTTAACTCTGTTTATAACCCCTAGAGAATAGGACAGAGGGCAGAGGAGGACAGGACACTTTGACCTTTTATACCTTTCAGTGGTTTTTGTTTTAACAGCTTTGTTGGAATATAAATCCCATACCGGACATTTCACCCAATTAAACTGTGATCCAGTAGCTTTTAGTGTATTCATTGATATGCAACTGTCACCACAGTGAATTTGAGAACTTTTTTGTTTTTTAATCTCAAAAAGAAACCCCATCTCCTTTAGCTATCGCCCCCCATCCTCATCCTCCCACCTCCCAGCCCTGCGCACCCATTGATCTACTTTCTGTCTCCATATTGTAATTGTATTCTGGATGTTTACTTGAATGGAAGCATACACGCGGACTTCTGTGTCTGGCTTCTTTCACGTAGCGTGTTTCTAAGGTTCATCCAAATTACAGCATGTATCAGTACCTCATTCCTTTCTGTGGCTGCATAATGGTTCATCCTGTGGATATGCCTCATTTTTATCCATCATCAGTTGATGCACATTTGGGTGGTTCCTACCTTTTGGCCATTATGCATAATGCCTCTGTAGACATTCATATACAAGTTTTTGTGTGAACTTTAATACGTTTCCATTTCTCTCGGATATATACCTAGGAGTAGAATTGCTGGGTCATATGGTAACTCTTTAAAGAATTGCCAGATTGTTTTCCACGGTGGCTGCACCGTTTTACATTCCCACCAGCCTATATGAGGGGTCCTATTTCTCCACATCCTCATGAACACTTCTTATGTGACCTTTTGGTTCTGGCCATCCTAGTGGGTGTGAGGTGGTATCTCAGTGTGGTTTTGATTTGCATTTCCCTGATGGCTACTGATTTCAAGCATCTTTTCTTGTGCTTCCTGGCCATCCGTATAAATATTCCTATCCTTTGCCCATTTTTAACTGAATTATCTGTATTTTTACTGTTAAATTATAAGAATTCTTACATGTTCTACAAGTCTACCGTCAGCTATATGATTTCCAGATTTCCAGGTATTTGCTCCCAGTTTCTTTGTTTTGTTTGTTCTGTTTTCTCGCTGAAAACAGAACACTGAAGCACGAGTTTTTAGTTTTAAAGTCCAATTTTTTAGTTTTTTCTTTTGTTGCTCAAACTTTTGGTGTCCTATCTGAGAAACTATGGCTTGATCCAAGGACATGGCAATTTATGCCTGTGTCTTCGGAGGATTTTAGAGTTCTAGCTCTCACATTTAGGTCTTTGAGCCACGTGAGTTCATTTTTTCATGTAATGTGCTAATCCAGATGATCCTGGGCCATTTGTTGAGATGACTTTTTCTTTCATTGAATAGTCTTGCCACCTTGTCGAAAATTAAGTGACCACAGATACATGGTTTCTTTTGAGACTCTTAGTTGTGTTCCTTTGATCTTCTTGCCTATCCTTATGCTCGTACTGCACTGTCTTGATTACTGTCATTTTGTAGAAAGTGTGAGATCAAGAAGTGTGTGTCCTCCTCCTTTGTTCTTCTTGAAAAAGAAGGGTTTAGCTCTTCTGGGCCCCTTTCAATTCCAAATGTGAATTTTAGAATTAGCATATCTTTTGTGGTATATATATATATACAATGGAATATTATGCATCCATCAAAAGGAGTGAGATCTTGCCATTTGCAATGATGTGGATGGAACTGGAGGGTGTTATGCTGAGCGAAATAAGTCAATCAGAGAAAGACATGTATCATATGACCTCACTGATAAGAGGAATTCTTAATCTCAGGAAACAAACTGAGGGTTGCTGGAGTAGTGGGGGGTGGGAGGGATGGGGTGGCCGGGTGATAGACATTGGGGAGGGTATGTGCTATGAATTACGTAAGACTGATGAATCACAGACCTGTACCTCTGAAACAAATAATACATTATATGTTAAAAAAAAAAAGAAGAAGATAGCAGGAGGGGAAGAATGAAAGGGGGGAATCGGAGGGGGAGACGAACCATGAGAGACGATGGACTCTGAAAAACAAACTGAGGGTTCTAGAGGGGAGGGGGTAGGGGGATGGGTTAGCCCAGTGATGGGTATTAAAGAGGGCACATTCTTCATGGAGCACTGGGTGTTACGCACAAACAATGAATCATGGAACACTACATCAAAAACTAATGATGTGGGCGCCTGGGTGGCTCAGTTGGTTAAGCGACTGCCTTCGGCTCAGGTCATGATCCTGGAGTCCCTGGATCGAGTCCCGCATCAGGCTCCCTGCTCGGCAGGGAGTGTGCTTCTCCCTCTGACCCTTCCCCCTCTCATGTGCTTGCTCTCTCTCATTCTCTCTCTCTCAAATAAATAAATCTTTAAAAAAAAAAACAAAATTAATGATGTAATGTGTGGTGATTAATGTAACAATAAAAAATTTTTTAAAAAATTAGCGTATCTTTCTATGAAGAAGTCAGCTGGGATTCTGATAGGGATTGCATTGAATTTGTAAATCAACTTTTAAAAGTTTGTTCTATGAGCATATATCTTTATTATAATATGCTTCATTTAGAAATCCTTTTTATTTATTTTTTTAAAAGATTTTATTTTTATTTATTTGACAGAGAGAGACACAGCGAGAGAGGGAACACAAGCAGGGGGAGTGGGAGAGGGAGAAGCAGGCTTCCCGCAGAGCAGGGAGCCCGATGCGGGGCTCGATCCCGAGCCGGAGGCAGACACTTCACGACTGAGCCACCCAGACGCCCCTAGAAATCCTTTTTAGTAAAAAAGAAATGAGACCATGAACCAACTTTTTTTTTATAATGGAATGCTTCACGAATTTGCTTGTCATCTTTACGCGGGACTCATGCTAATCTTCTCTGTATCATTCCAATTTTAGTATATTAAGCCAGCACCACGAGCCAACTTTTAAACTTGTCCTAAACTTGTTTCAAGTGATAGAAACTTCAGCATGTCTGGAACTTTGTAATCTGGGGTTGTTTCACCTTCTGGTCTCCAGTGTCAAAAATCCTAATATAGGGTACAGGTTAAGTAAGCATGGCTTTTGTGTCCTAGAGGTTGGGAAGGCGTTTCTCACTTAGCTGTCACTAAGTTTTAACTAAGAATATAAAATTTGTTCACACTTTTAGGTTTATTAATTTTGTGAAAAACTACGAGAATCCAAATCTGACCATTTCTTTCACTACTGAGCGAAGTATTGAGGATGAACTGAATCGTGAAAGTAACGGTGATGTCTTCACTGTTCTGATCAGCTATGCTGTCATGTTTCTGTACATTTCCATAGCCTTGGGCCACATCAAAAGCTGTAGCAGGTTTCTAGTAAGTGGTGTGTGTGTGTATGTTGGAGAGAAATGACAGTGCACAGCATGATACCATATTTTTGCCTCTACTTTTTTGGGGGGTGGGGTGGGTAGAAGGGCAGAGGGAGAGAGAAAAAGAAAATCCTGAGCAGGGTCCACGCCCAGCTGGAGCCTGACACTCGATCTCATGACCCTGAGATCATGACCTGAGCCGAAATCAAGAGTCAGATGCTTAACCAACTGAGCCACCCAGGCGCCCCTGCCTCTACTTAGTTAATCCTAAATCATTAGGTTCAAAACTGGTTTACATTCCCCTGTTTTCATTGTATGTAATATTTTCTATTTCCTGCATGTGTTTTCTTCAGTTCCAAATTTTGGTTTATTTTGAACTTAGAATTTATTCCCCACAATCCAGTTTTTCCTAATTTGGCTACACCATCACCTAAGAATTGAAGCCCATGAAACTTGTTGCCAGGGAAGACCTAGAACATTTTTCATATCTTTTCTCAAACTCGGAGAGGACTTTGAACTCCAAATCGGCTGTACCCAAAAAGAGGTAAAATGAGGACCTTTTAGTCATAAGAGAGATTACAGTCTGACGATTTGTCTTTGTTGCATGTCTTAGGTGGATTCTAAAATCTCCCTTGGTATCGCCGGGATCCTCATTGTGTTGAGCTCAGTGGCGTGCTCATTGGGCATCTTCAGTTACGTTGGGATCCCCCTCACCCTCATTGTGATCGAAGTCATCCCATTCCTGGTGCTGGCTGTCGGTGTGGACAACATCTTCATTTTGGTCCAGACCTACCAGGTATGTTTCCATAGTCTCACAGAGCTTGCCGTCGGACCAACTAGTGGGCTCCATTAATGGCTGTTCCGCTCCATGCAGAGTACTTGTGAGTGTGGACAGTGAGACAGCTTTGTTTCCTGTTCTCTGTGTTGCCGATTGGTGTCCATAACTTGTTCGGGACGTTTTGAGACCAAGAAGTTCATCCTTCTCTTTGTTTGGGGAAATAGGTATAAAGTGAGAATTGCGTTTTAAAGATTTTTTTTTTTTTTAATGAGAGAGAGAGTGTGCATGGACAATCAGGCTCCATGCTGAGCACAAAGCCCAACTCGACTCGATCCCAGGACCCTGAGACCATGACCTGAGCTGAAACCAGGAGTCAGACACTTAACTGACTGAGCCACCCAGGTGCCCTGAGAATTCAGTTTTAAGTATGTGTGCAAGAAGGGCTTGCGTGCTTGTGAAAAATATTTTGGATACAACTGTTATTAAAATGAGTCTCCAATAGTGTAGAAGAATCAAAGATTTGTCAGAGATGCCACTAAAAAGATAGGGCAGCATAGGACCTGCTGATGTAGAAAATGGTCTCAGTCATGATTTTTTCTCTCCTGGTGGCCTTACTTGGAGACTCAGTGGCACAGAAGAGTGTCACTTAATGGTCCAGCCACCTGCAGCCTGTGTTCTGTGTATTTTCCTGATAAGATGATCCAGTCTTCCCTTGAGCTTCTCACCTGTTACCTAGCTCCGGGGCTTAGTGATTACCCTGGATGGATTATCATGACAAGTTTGGTCCCGCATCAAAGTTTATCTACAATAAGTAGAAGCTCCTAATCATTTTTCATTACCATTGAGTTAACACAAAGCAACAAAGAAGCAAAGAGATGGCATTGTTGTTTAGAAATGTTAATGGCCCGGGGCGCCTGGGTGACTCAGTCATTAAGCATCTGCCTTCCCGCTCAGGTCATGATCCCAGCCTGCTTCTCCTCCTTCCTCTCCCCCTGCTTGTGTTCCCTCTCTCACTGTGTCTCTTTCTGTCAAATAAATAAATAAAATCTTAAAAAAAAAAAAAAGAAATGTTAATGGCCCGTGTTTTGTTTTTTGTTTTTTTAAGCGCGATGAACGTCTTCAAGGAGAAACTCTGGATCAACAGCTGGGCAGGGTCCTAGGAGAAGTGGCTCCTAGTATGTTCCTGTCATCCTGTTCAGAGGCTGTAGCGTTTTTCTTAGGTAATTACTCTGAAGTCTACCAATCCCACCGTTTTCTGAGCCTGGGGGTAGAAGGATCTGGGTATCTGAATATGTCCCTTTGTGTTGCTTCCTTGTTTAAGCTTTGATCTGTAATCAGAAAATATCAGAGTGGACCACAAGAAAAATTAGTGGCAGTATCTTGGGTATCATTTTGGAAGTGTCCTCTTTTTTTTTAGAGGGGGTAGGGGCAGAGGGAGAGAGACTCTTAAGCAGGCTCCACGCCCAGCGCAGAGCCTGATGCGGCACCCCATCTCACTCACGACCCTGAGATCATGACCTGAGCTGAAATCAGGAGTCGGCTGCCCGACTGACTGAGCCACCCAGCGGCCCTCGTCTTTCTCATGTTGTTCATGACAGTGTGGATATTGGGGTCCGGGCTGACAGATACCCTAGAACTCCTCTGCTGCTTTCCCGTTTTGGCACCCGTGGCAAATGTGGATCTTTGAAAACGGCATTCCCACATCCCCACAGGAGCCTTGCCAACACCCCACTCTGAGTGAAATCCACAGGCATAGACAGTCTTTCTCGGTCCACACAAATCATCGGGGAAGCAACCTCATTAAGGAGCCAAGGTCATTGGACCTCACCTCACTGCAAGGAGCCAGAATAAGCTGGAACAAAAGCCAGCGCTTCCTGTCTGTCTTTCTCCTGGAGAAGTCACCATGCAGCCTCCCTAGCAGGGCTGTCTGCCCCCGTCTGCTGTGTGGGAACAGTAGGACGAGAAAACCGAGTGCGTCTTCTGAGCAGGAGGCTGGATGAGAAATGCCATCATTCCGCCTGGGCCACGGGCGGAAACGCCTCTGTGGGCTGCCGGCTCCTGTCGCCCGGGGCTGCTCGTCGGAGGCGGCGGGCTTTCAGAACAGACGCCAGGGTGCAGGTCCTCCTTTCCACAAAGCGGCGCACTTTCACCTGTGGTCCTTACACTTGCTTTTGATGGATACAGGCGCAGAAGAAGTTATTTTCTCTTGTTTTCTCATCAGAAACTGTGGTGATAGTAGCAACCAGTACTGTGTCTCAGGACTGGAATGACTCTGAATGGGGACAGGAGGAGCAGAGGGCCCAGGTCTACAAAAGGCAGTCACGTGTTGCTGGCCTGGTGCTGCTCGGTTCAGTTTCTTTCTTTCTTTTTTTTTTAAATTTTTGTTTTATTTATTTATTCATGAGAGTCAGAGAGAGAGAGAGAGAGAGGCAGCGGCGGAGGGAGAAGCAGGCTCCCTGCCGAGCAGGGAGCCCGATGCGGGACTCGATCCCAGGACCCTGGGATCGTGACCTGAGCCGAAGGCAGACGCTTAACCAACTGAGCCACCCAGGTGTCCCTCTTTTTTTTTTTTTTTTTTAAGTGAAGCTGTGAATCTAGATTTTTGTGTCGAGTCTCGCTGTTAAGTATTGGCTACTTTTTTTTAAAGACTTTTATTTATTTAAAGAGAGAACGAGTGGTAGGGAGCGGCAGAGGGGGGAGAGAGAGAGAAGCAGACTCCTCACTGAGGAGGCAGCCCGACGCAGGGCTTGATCCCGGGACTCCTGGATCATGACCTGAGCCAAAGGCAGCTGCTTAACCAACTGAGCCACCCAGGCGCCCTAATATTGGCTACTTTTTTTAAGAAATGTTTTTTCATCCTAAATGTGGACCATACAGGATACATCTGGCCTGTTTGCTAGTTTGCAGTTTCTGGGTGTTAACCCAGTACTTCTGACTAGGGGCACCCTCATCTGATTGTAACGGAAGTGGGAGACTCATATTGTTGATCTAATAGCAGATGGAAAATACTGCTCTCCAGAGCAAAGCATAGAAGGTGCGAGAAGAAATGACTGATACTGATGGTGCCGAAAGTTCAACATGCATAGATTTGTCTGGAGAGCCTGTTATATACAGTTGAATTGGGTGTGAATCCCCACTGTTCTGATTAAGTAGGCTAAGGGGAGAGCTCAGGAACCTACATTTTTACCTCCCCAAGTGGTTCCGATGCTTGATACCATTTTGCAAAACACCGGGCATATGGGCTCTTTGAGTTCTGGTGTGACACCCCCAGACTTGGGCGGCATGCCTCTGGGGGGTGTGGGGAGTGCGGGTCTTCTCGTGGCTTCGGTCCGTCCTGGCTCCTCGCGTTGCTGTGTACACGTGAGTGTAAGACTCGCACAGGGTCTCCTGCTGTAAGTGGAAGTGACCAGGCAGCTTCTCTCCCCCTGCAGGAGCCTTGTCAAAGATGCCAGCCGTTCACACTTTCTCCCTGTTTGCCGGGATGGCCGTCCTCATTGACTTCCTGCTTCAGATTACCTGTTTCGTGAGTCTCTTGGGGTTAGACATTAAGCGTCAAGAGGTAAGTTGTTGTCAGGATGACAGTCTGTTTACAGTCTAGAATCGAAGTGAGGTAGCAGGAGGGTGTCACCTTTGTTCCTCTTTGTCCTCTCAGAAAAATCGTCTGGACGTCCTTTGCTGTGTCAGAGGCTCTGAAGATGGAACTGGCATCCAGGCCTCAGAAAGCTGCTTGTTTCGGTTCTTCAAAAACTCCTATTCTCCTCTTCTGCTTAAGGATTGGATGCGACCAATTGTGGTATGAGTTTGTGGTTTTCCTCATTTTTCTCCCCAAAACAGATTTGTCACATCCCTTCTAAGAAATCAGCTCGGGTGGGGCGCCTGGGTGGCTCAGTCGGTTAAACTTCCAACTCTTGATGATTTTGGCTCAGGTCATGATCTCTGGGTCGTGGGATTGAGCCAGGCTCCCTGCTCAGCGTGGATTCTGCTTGTCCCTCTCCCTCTGCTCCTCCCCCCTGCTTGCCCACGTGCTTCTTTCTAAAATAAATAAATAAAATCTTAGAAAGTCAGTGTGGGAAGGAGATTCTGACAGCTGTTAAGTATATATATGAAAATGCAAAAGCAAATATGTACAAGTATATAAAATATTTTTCCAGCTGGCTTTTAGCAGTCAATATAAGCAAGTTTTTATTTTGAAGGAATTATAGATTCATAGAAAGTCAAGAAGATAGTACAGAGAGGACCCAGGTGCCCCTCACCCATCTTCTTCCTGTGGTCTTACACAATTGTAGTTGAGCGTCAAAACCAGGAATTTGCCGTGGGCACAGCGTGTGTGTCTAGTTCCAAGTCCCTTTATCATGTGTGCAGGCTGCAGGAACCACCACCGCAGGATAACAGACTGTCCTGTCACAGCTCTGGTCACGCTGCCCCTCTGTAGTGCCATGAGCCACCCCCCCCCACCATCCCGAGTCCCCAGCAGCCGTGTAGGAGCTTTTTGTAGTTGACACACTGCATGTAGCCACCAGTGATAACCTGTCACTTCTCTACTAAAAGAACGTGGATTAGTCTGCAGTAATGGTAAAGTAATAGTAATACGTAACATCTCATGAGCACTTAATATTGGGAATGGTGCTAAATAGTGGGTACAATGCTGACTCTGGATTACCCCGAGATTTTCTCATTTAATCCACAAAACTTCTGTTACACATCTTTTATTTTTCCTGTGTTACTGATGAGGAAGTAGAATCTGAGAGAGGTTAAGTGACTTCCCCAGGGTCACTCAAATCCTGGAGCCAGGATTTGAACCCAGGTAGTTTGACTAGATACTATGATCTCTAAAAAAAGATACTATGATCTCAGCCACTGTCCCCTACTCTCTACTTTACCATGGTGCATAAAATTTTCAGTTGAGAAAAGTCCTGTTTTTTATGTGTGGAAGATCTTATTTATGTTCTTAAGCTCCAGTACACGAAGCAGTCACTGTCTTTACAACTCACTTTTCATTCCAGATAGCGGTATTTGTGGGTGTCCTGTCATTCAGTATCGCGGTCCTGAACAAAGTGGAAATTGGATTGGATCAGTCTCTTTCAATGCCCGATGTAAGCTGCTTTCTCTTTGATCATGTGTAGCCAATGGTGTGAATAAATTTTCCCAACCTTGCATGCAGTTATTCCAGGCTAATGCCTGCTTTTAAATGCACGTGCTACAGGTTCCCCCAGGTTACAGGAACCGCCACAGAGCTCAGCAGTGGGGGCCGTCTTAGCATTTGGGACTCTCAGGGCGAGGGGGGCAGCCGGAGAAATAGAACAGCAAACCTTCTACCTCGTAGGGTGCCCTCCTGATGGTGGGCCAGCCAGAGAAGCACCTTGGGTGCAGGGAGGGTGAGGAGCAGGGAACCGGCTGGGGAGGGGACTCCTATCTGGGCTGGGGCCGTCTCGACCAGCAGCATCCCAGTGCTGTCTTCATCTTTAGCCCTTGTCCCCTTGCTTCGACATCGGCAGCACATTCCTACCTTGTCCTGTTCTCTGATCATTCTTTCAGGACTCCTACATGCTGGATTACTTCAAGTCCCTCAAATACCTGCATGCAGGTCCACCTGTGTACTTCGTCCTGGAGGAAGGGCACGACTACACCTCTCTGAGAGGGCAGAACATGGTGTGCGGGGGCATGGGCTGCAACAACGACTCCCTGGTGCAGCAGATCTTCACCGCGGCCCAGCTGGACAACTAGTCAGTACCGCCTGGCGTTCTTGTCCTGTGGCGGAAGCCGCCGGAAGGGGCCCTCGGCCACAGTCCGCATGGGCCTGTTTCTCACTAAAAATAGATTTGCTAGAAAATGTGTTGCTCAAAATCATGCTAACTCTAGCTTTACCTCAGCAAAAGCTTATTTAAAAGGACTAACTGACCAGCTCCCATCTCGAACGGTTTTCCATTAAGTGGTGATGAAGTCTGTCCTTTGGGCAGCAGTGTAACATCTAGAAAAAGCAGTTAGGTTTCGAGAAAAAGGACTGAATCTGGAGACATCCCCCCGTGGAGCAAGTCAGTAACTTCTCCCTCCTTCTTGCTAGTACCCGAATAGGCTTTGCGCCCTCATCCTGGATCGATGATTATTTTGATTGGGTCAAGCCTCAGTCTTCTTGCTGTAGAGTCTACAACAGCACAGATCGGTTCTGCAACGCCTCAGGTACTTTCATCTCCTTTTCCAGATCTTTCCGTTTTCTCTGAAGACTTGCGACATTATAATTTAAAATTGATTTGCATTTCACCTCAGTTTGTGCTGGCGCCGGTCCCGTTTCCTTGGTCACCATCCCTGTCCTCAGCCGTGCTCTCTGAAGGGTGTCGTGGTGTTCTGTCTCCCTCCGCCCCCCACCACAAGGCTGCAGGCCAAACACAGTCCTGGTCGGGGGACTCTGGTTTTCAGAGTCTTTGGGGTTCTCCCAACACCACTAATGGTGTCCTCGGTTGGGGTCTGGCTGCAGCATCTCACGGGGGTGCTTCCCTTTGTTATCACTATTGCCCTACAGTTTTGTTAGGAGTGTTGAGGTTGTTCTCGAATTTTCTTGATAAAAACACGGAAGCCTTGGACTCTGATAATACCAGCTGAGTTCATCCTCCAGGGCAGGCAGCCTGCTTCGGGGAAGAAAGTTTGTACAGCCTGCGTCAGGTGAAGATGGACTCTCAGATGTATTAGACTGTGAAAATCACGTGTGTTGGAAGCTTTGGGGTCAGGGATCTTTTGATTCAGGGAAATTCTCCTCAGATCTTGAAATGTTTGAAAATAAAATCTGGAGCCTCGTTCTTCTCACCTCGGCCCCTCCCGTGTCTTTGCTAGTGGTTGACCCTGCCTGTGTCCGCTGCAGACCTCTGACCCCGGAGGGCAAACAGAGGCCTCAAGGTGAAGACTTCATGAGATTCCTGCCCATGTTCCTTTCTGATAACCCGAACCCCAAGTGCGGCAAAGGGTAAGTGCCATTGAGCCGTGCGGAGACGCGCCCCGTTGCGGTTATTTGGCGCGGGACGGCTGGCAGAGGGCTGGGGTGGAGGCAGCTGTCTGGGAGAGGTCCCTCTCTTCCCCTCCGCACCCTGCCCCGATCTTCTGTGAGAGCAGAAGAACCTCAGACACCCAGGAGGAGAGCGTCTCCTCGTCTCCCGCTGGTTTCACCCTGGCTCGAGCGTGCGTCCCGCCCTCGGGGCTCCGTGTCCTGGCCCCCCTGCAGGAATGGCTGCGGAGCGCCGTGCCGGCATCTAGCAGGCCAGGAGGGGAGCAGGGATGCACGGCGTCTCAGAACGCGGTCACGTCCGTCTCGGTGTCAGGGACAGCTCCTCGGCTCGGTCGCGTCACCCCGGATTGAGGTTTAGGTTCTCGCAGCCCCGCCGTTCTTGCCAGCCTGTCTGGCTGTGAGCTTATGGGCTGTCTTGCGCCCTTACCCCATCGAGCCGGGCAGCCGGTTAGCCGGGGACGCAGGACGTCTGGGCCCAGAAATAGGGAAGATGCCTGGAAGTCTGGGGTGGGATGATTCAGAACCTTCTGTAGGAGGAAGAGTGTCCACACGTATGTTAGGTAAAGCCTGGACTTCCCTGTTTTCCCTAAGAGTGTATAACTCGACCAGAATCCCATCCGTCAGTCATGTATATCATGGCTGTGCTCGGAGACCCACACCTGGTACCGAGGAAAGTAGGTGCCTAAAAATAAAAATGAATCTTGCAGCTTGGTCTGCTTGCCGACTGAACGCTTTGGCCTACATAAAACAAATCCCAAGTACATTCAGCTTTTAGGAAAGCAACAGCCACCACTTACGGGGAGCCTCCTGCACGCCCACCTCATCGCTCTCACCACACAGCCCGTGAGGAGGCGGCAGAGGACGCCGCAGCCCAGATGCAGTCCCTTTGCCCGGGGTGCCGTGGCCAGTACGTGGCAGGGCCGAGACCGGTCTCACGGCCATGGACTCGGGCCCTTGTCCTTTCCTTCCTGTTACACGACACTGCTGAGCAGACGCCGTAGGAAAACACAGGTGCGGAAACGAGCACCCCTGCACCCAAACAACCCAAAGCAGTAAAGAAGAGCCAGCGTGAGAGAGGACAAGCCAAAACCTCCACCGTTCCCTCTCGGGGCCTTCCCTGTCCCTGAAATCTGCAGCTGGGGTGCCTCTGAGCCCGGGATCGGGTGACTCCACTTGGCCTTGCGTGCTCAGGTTCTGCGGGGACTTCCTGGGGCCTCTGACACCACCGAGTCTTCCCGTAGGGGACATGCTGCTTACAGTTCAGCCGTTAACATCCTCGGCAACGACACAGGTGTCGGAGCCTCGTACTTCATGACCTACCACACCGTGCTTCAGACCTCTGCTGACTTCACTGACGCCATGAGCAAAGCCGTCCTCATCGCCAGGAACATCACCACAACCATGGGCCTCGAAGGAAGTGGTTACCGTGTGTTCCCGTACAGGTAGTGTGAATTTTGTACGCGAGGTGTCCTGGGTTAGGGCCCACAGCCTGGGGGCTCCCCTGGTGGGATGCTGACCCTTGTTGGCTTTCATTCTGACACCGTCTCCATCATGAGCACAAGCAAAGAATATTAAGGGAAGTAGCATCTGGGCGAAGGAAGGCCAGGGTCTGGAGCACCCACCAAGGTCTGAGTGCCGGACCCACAAAATCTGGTCTCTGGGCTGGAGCTCACAATCTGAAGAAGACACACTCCGAAACAGCACCGGGGGGGAGGGCGCAGTACTGGGGGACCGGGCTTCACTGAGAGGGCGGAGCGGACATTCCCGCCCGGTAGCCACCGGCCGCCCCTGACTGCCCCTGACTGCCCCTGACTGCCGATTAGCTGGGACCAGTGCCTTTATGGAGGTTTTTCAGTTTTGTTGGTTGGGGTTTTCTCCTATAAAGTATTTTAAGAGATACCGAATTTGGAAACTATTAAAAAGTAGAAGAAACGGGTGGTTTTTTCCCCCACCCCTGTGATCTTGCTTAAAGGGGTTCTGACCCATTCCTGACAGGAGGACAGCCTGTTTTTCTGGGGAAGAAGTTCTCAGAATGGGTGTCCTATTTCCAGAGAAGAGCTGACTGACTTTGCCAAAAAAGCATTTTCTCCTCAGGCCCCACACACAGCCCATTTGGTCTGAGGTAATTCTCACGATAGATCAGGACTTGTGTTTTCAACGTACCATGACATACTCTGTAAATGCCTATGAAGTGAAAAGGTTGGGCTTATGAACAAAAACTTTATCTAAAATACACATTTTGGATCAATAGGCCCTTCTTTGGGCATCAGTGGTCAGCCCTTCTTTGGGCATCAGTGGTCAGAGGTTCATTTGAATTCCAAACAGAACAGGCAGTTTTTATGCAAGGGATGTCTGAGTAGTTCCAGTTTTGCAGTAGCAGCAGGATGAAAAATAAGTAGAGCTTCCAGAAGCAAGCACGAGCTGTAACAGAACCTTCTTCTCTCTTCTCCAGTGTGTTCTATGTCTTCTACGAACAGTACTTGACCATTATCGATGACACAATCTTTAACCTCAGCGTGTCCCTGGGAGCCATCTTCTTGGTGACCTTGGTTCTCCTGGGCTGTGAACTGTGGTCTGCAGTGATCATGTGTGTCACCATCGCCATGATCTTGGTCAACATGTTTGGCGTCATGTGGCTATGGGGCATCAGTCTGAACGCAGTTTCCTTGGTCAACTTGGTTATGGTGAGTCCTGGCCCAGTTTGTCCCTACCTTCTGTGTCACTTCCATGAACTGTTTCTTGGGGTAAGAGACTGGGGCCAGGTCTTGCTCTTGGACAGGTGGGATGAGTGCTAATGGAGTGGGGACGTGGGTGGTGCGTAGAACAATGGAAATGTGACTGCGTGGTGTCATGGGGGTATTTTGCCTGGAACTTCTATCCTGAAGGGTTTGCAAAAACACGTAGCCTAATGACAAGACGTTTACTTTTTATTTAGAAAAAATGCTCCTTCCCAGTGGAATTCTCTACCAGCACCTTTTGCTTCCCATGCAATTGCCAGGTGCTTTCCGATAGTCTTGAAGATACGAGCTGAGAGAATATTAAAATAGCAGCGTGTCTGTACTTAGGATTCGAGCACTGCAGGGAGAGTGGCAGGGAGGCCCAGCTAAAGCAGATCTGAGGGGTGCTGGCTCTTGAGGGGTGGGGGTAACCCTACGAGGGTTCCACAGGTGCCCCTACAACAGGCAGGTCTGTAGAGAAGCAGAGCTCTGGGTGCTGTGCCGCCAGGGTCCCACGAGTCACCGGGTACACCTTCAGTTGGTGTGGCGGGGGCTGGGTGTTACAAGGTAAAGAGGATGCATAGGGCTCCTGGGCCTCTGGGGCGCCCTGCACGCCAGATCCTGGGAGAGGAGTACCTGCCTGCTTAGCATTTTCAGCTGCAAGAGGGCAGTCTGACGGGAGCCCTCTTTTTCAGAGCTGTGGCATTTCCGTGGAGTTCTGCAGCCACCTCACGAGAGTGTTCACGGTGAGCACGAAGGGCGGCCGCGTGCAACGGGCCGAGGAGGCGCTCTCTCACATGGGCAGTTCTGTAAGTAGCCTGGCCGGAGAGTTCCACACACAGTGCCCAGCCCATCAGCAGTGCTTCTCGGGAACCGGGAGAGTCAGTAGGGAAAACAGGATTTGAATTAGGATGACACGTCTTCGGGCATTTCACGGAACAGCTCTATCCTGATGTTCTTTAGAACTGTTCCCTTTGGTGAATCCTTTGTAGACCATGGAGCGGAAGAGAACAGAGAGGTTTGATTTGAGCTCACGTGTTGACAGCAAGGGAGCTGTGGCCCTCAGAGCCCGGAGAATCTTCTTAGTTTAACTTCATAGCCTGCTTCCGCCTTTCAGCCAGTTACTTTGCTGCTCTAGAAAATACTTAATAGTTCTCATCTAAAAATACAAGGAAGTCTGTTTAAAGACAGAGTCCAGTGTCTACGCAGAATACACAGCTTTTACCCTTACACCTTTTTTTTTCAGGTCTGTAAGCAGCAAATCAAACACTTTTAGGTAGAGTAGTACTGCTTGTCAGTAACTGAAAGCTGGGTTCGCCCCATTGCTTTGGGCCTTGCCCATCAGGAAATCGCCGTGAGGAAGTGTTGAGTTAGAGTAGGTTGGTAAGTGCTTTCCAACCGTGTCTCTTCTTTCAGGTGTTCAGTGGAATCACACTAACAAAATTTGCAGGGATTGTGGTGTTGGCGTTTGCCAAATCGCAGATCTTCCAGATATTTTACTTCAGGATGTATCTGGCTATGGTCTTACTGGGAGCCACCCATGGCTTGATATTCCTCCCGGTCTTACTCAGCTACATAGGTAAGCATTCTTGTTCCTAATCAAGTGGATGGAGGAAGGAAAAGAGATCTAGAAGCCTTCTTAAATGGTACTTAAGGAAATTGTGAGCGGAAAACAATCCAGTCTAGAGGTTTCGTGGTGGTCCAAACGGCGTCCTTAGTGAACCAATGCTTTTCCTGGAGGCTGCGCTTGGCTGCCACGCGGGGCCCCGAAGTCAGCGCTGAAGGGGGAAGGCGCTTGCGTGGCAGCCCCGCGCCCCGAGAGGCCGGAGTGGCTCAGGCGCCAGGCCAGCCCAGCGGGGCTGCAGAGCGTGCTCACGCCCCGACTCACCGCCCGCCCCGAGAGCCGCCTCTGCTCCTCTCGTTTCAAGACTGTCCTTAAGATCTTTTTACTTCCGTGGCCACTTCAGCTTCCATAAATGACGTGTGGTTGGAAGGAGAGGACAGGACCAACTTGCTTTAGAGCTTTATAAGAAGCTGAGGCGTTGCCGGGGGGGGGGTTATTAATCTCGGGGGGATAGAAAGTTTGTACTGTAATAGAACTACCCTATCGCCTCTTCTCCTGAAGAAATGATCCAGAAGTTGTATTTTTTTTTTTTTTAATCCCTCACAGGCCCATCGATAAATAAAGCCAAAAGTTCGGCCACTCAAGAGCAATACAGAGGTACAGAGCGAGAACAGCTCCTTAATTTCTAGCCCCTTGTGAGGTTTGGGGACTTTGAACTGTGTGTGTGGGTCGGTCGGTTTACTGGACAGTCGCTGTGTCGTCCGGGCGGAGCTGGACGGTAGCGACACCAGGCTCGGACAGCGGCAGCCTCGGCCCTAGTGCTTTTGGATTCAGGACCGCCAATCTGACGTGTGAAGCAGTATTACCTAATCGGAAGGCAGCCCCAGGACGCCCAGGGGCCTTCCACGTTCCCCGGGAACGAGACCTAACTCGGGCAGGCGGAAGGGGACCCAGGCAAAGCTGGGTGGGATCTGCTCCCTGACACCTTCTGAAGGCCAATCAATGCAATGTTTTTCCTTTGTTTTTGGAGTAAGCCATCACACAAGTTCTATACCATATTTTTAGTAACACTTGAGAATGTTGTAGATACACTTTAACATTTTGTAGTTTAAAGAGCTTTATTAATGCAATAAATTAACTTTGTACACATTTTTATATATATAAAAAAAAACTAGCAGGTGATTTCAGAATGTTGTAGGCCTCATTAGAGCTTGGTCTCCAAAAACCTGTTTGAAAAAAGCAACATGTTCTTCACAGTGTTCTCCTATAAAGGAAATACAGATTTCATCAGATGTGGCACAAAAAGAGGAAAACAAGAATGAACACTTTACAGCTCATAGATGTGTACGGTGGGGTTTTAACTTGTTTTCCTTCATAAAATACTTTGTTTTCCTAAGCTTTTGAGTTGTCCTTTTTATTGATACAGCTCCTGCCAGGGCTGTTGGGCACCTTCACGGTTCACAACCCCAGCAAACCGCGTTGAGACGGGGCTAGAGCAGCTCGCCTGTCCCGGCCACGCCATCCTGCACGGGTTCCTAAGCTACGTAGAGTCAGGGGGCCTGAAGCAGAGCATCACACGCTCCTTCCCCACCCTGAAGAAGCCGGATGCCTTAGGTTTCATAACTTGGGAGACAAGAGCTAAGATCAGCCTAGGTTTCCTGAGACCCCGGGTCATCTGACACGCCTTAGTCACCGTTTCTGGTCTTGTCCCTGATTCCTCAGAAAGCAGCATTCCCAGATCACCGCAGGCCTGAGCTGGGCCCACACCGCCGCCCTGGCCAGAAGTGCATTTGCTGCAGGTTCCAGAGCGGAATTCCCCCCGAGCACCATCACAGAATTTTGTTGCTAACCCAGGAGTTCTTAGGAGAGCGCCCAAAAAGGCTTCTCGCCCCCCGCCCGCGTGCCTGCGTTCTCTTGCTACTGTGAGTCTGTTCACCCCGCTCTCTCCACTGCCGCCACATCCTCACCTGGTGTGAAGTTAGGGTTCCCTCGCAAACGCTGGTTTCGCTGTTCAAAAAACCGAAATATAGTATAGAACAGCATGTTGTCTTCAGTCTGCTTCGCGGCATCCAGAAATTTTCGTGCAGAAATGTTGTCATGGCCGCCAATGCCCCGGATGAACCGTAAGGCCGCCAACACTTGGTGTTTGGAAAGCAGCACTTCCACGATCTCATCGTTCGCGGTCGAGAGTCGCTGGGAGGGAGGGGGGGGAGGGAGGAAGCCCGGTAAGTGCCAGCCACAGGAACAGACTGGAACGCAGTTTGGACGCTGCTGCAAGCGCAAGTTACCTTGAGCATGTCCAGAGACAGCTGGTGGGCAGGAGGGTAAAAGCTTTCTAGGGATAAGAGCAAACAAGCCTGAAAGACACATTTTCAAACTGGCTTCAGCATACGATGTTAGAAGGGTAAAGGTGAAGTCTCGAATCCCACAAGCACAGACCTGGGCCACATACCAGAGGCTTGGAGTCGCTGAGGACGTGGTACTGCAAGAACTGATGGAGCATGTAGAAGAGGTTGTGCTGGACCAGCGTCTTGATGACGAGCTCGTGTAAGTAGTGCTGAGGACAGAGACGGAAGGACAGCCCGTTCCCCAATCACCCCCTACGCCAGAGGAGAGGCCAGGGGGCCCAGGGCCGGAGCTGTTCGAAGGGATGGGTACGTGTTTCCACGATGACGGGGAGAGGTTCACCTGACGCCACACCCCTCATCCCACCGCAGGACAACACGGTAGTGTCGGGAAGTCCCTCGGATTCTGAGTGCGGCCCTGCCTCTCTAACTTGGGACAACACATGCTGGCTGGAAGGTACCTGTACTGCGATCTGAAACTGGTTGAGAGAGCGAATATACTCCATCAGAACGGCGATTACGAACTTATGAGGCACGTCCTACGGAGGAAAAGAAAAAAGGTCTTCATATCAAAGACCCGTGAGGAGGCCGCCTGCGGCTCGTTTCCCCACCCCTTGTTTCCACATGAATCTGGCCCAGTGTTGTATTTCGCCGCTTTTGCACAGATCCCTCCAGAAGCTCCCGTGTCCACGGTCACGTTGTGGCCGAGTATCACCAAACTATTAGCACTAGCTCTTCACCAAGACAGAATGTGATTAGTCTGACTGGAGCGGAGTTCTACCCTGCAAACAGGATGCGTGTGGACGACCCGTCACCCACCTTCTCCGTGAACACCGACAGCACGTGCGTGTACATGTCGGACTGATCGATCACCGCCTGGGTCCGCACCGGCCTCTTGAGAAGCGGACTGCTCCGGCTCTGCCCGGCTTCCAGGGCCTGACAACACATCGCAAATGGGACCTCACCCATCTTCTCGAGAAGCCCAGAAGGCTCGATTCCTAGACCCTGTGAGCCTCAGACAGGAGCAGAGGGTGGGCACTCCTACTCGGACAGAACGATTTCTCCCGTGCAGGCCGGGGCAGGCTTTAGGAAGCCAGAGTTGGTCATCTTGAAAACAGGCTAACGTTCACGAATGGGAACTAAAAGGCGTAAATCCGTTTCCTCTTGAGACACATTTTCTTAATCTTAAAATCCCTATTTTTTTTTTTTTTTAAAGATTTTATTTATTTATCTGACAGAGAGAGAGACAGTGAGAGAGGGAACACAAGCAGGGGGAGTGGCAGAGGGAGAAGCAGGCTTCCCCGCGGAGCAGGGAGCCCAATGTGGGGCTCGATCCCAGGACCCTGAGACCATGACCTGAGCAGAAGGCAGACGCTCAACGACTGAGCCACTCAGGCGCCCCTTAAAATCCCTAATTTACTTAATCACGGACTTTCTGGTGTTTGTTACCTAATAAAAACAGAATGGCGTCCTGCATCTTTGTTTTATGAAGCCCTGATCCTACAGTAAGTAAATACCACGTGTAAGACTCTCTGTCCAGATGTCCGAGTGGCAAATAAGCCCCCCGAAGCCTGGTGAGAAGACGGACCCCTTCAGCTGTAAGGCAGTCTGCCGCGGTGCACACCGTGCAGGAGCTGTGGCAGGGGCCTGAGAGGCTCTGACGAGCAAGGGCGACAGCTGAGGAAGCCTCGGAGCCAGAGCAGGGATGCACAGAAGCCCACGGGGGTCAGCCTCCTGCTTCCCACAGCCTCGTACACCAGCAGCAAGGCGGGGAAGGCTCTGGAAGAGCTCAGCCCTCCTCTGCCCCCTTCGCGTCTAACAGGACAGGGGCAGGCGCGCTCCAAGGTCACTCGGCCTTCAGCAGCCGGCGTCAGTCCTGTTACCCTGAGGAGCTGAAAGGGAGGGCAACTCTGGGTTTCGCACTGCTTAAAACCACTTCCACTCTAAGCCTTAGGACTCATCAGATCCTGAAAGTGAACTACTTCGTCCCACTCATGCTAACGGCACAGCAGAACCTGGTTCCGAGCCGTGTTAATGTTTCCAGGCCTGCAGACAGACACCTGAGCCTGCCATGTGAAAGCCCCACGCTAAGACAGTCGCCATCCCGACAGGATGCTGACTGAGTGCCGACATGAGCCTTTCCTTCTGGGCTGTAAGAGCGACAGAAGTAAGAGGATGGGGCAAAATGATCATCCTTCTCATTCATTAGGTCTAGGCTCTGACTTAGCAGGAGGAGGTATAAAATAACACAAAGCTGAAACCAATTTTCTTATCCTTAAAACAGGTTAAGACCAAGGATCTACGACCCCGTGTGAGACCTGACACAGACGAGAAAGGGCAGAGCGTGCAGGCAGCGTCGGGCTGGTGGGCCGCACGCACTGAAGCTCCTGCTCCCGCCTCCGGCCACCGGGCCCCCGGCACGCGAGCCTCGGTGGCATCATGCCTCCAGAACCCCGCATCCTAATTAGGAAACACAGGGCGGGGGCGGGGGGGTGGAGTGGAGTGGAGCCCACACAGCTTACCGTTGTGTAGCTCTGCTCCGCGTCCAGGTATTTCTTATACTCGTGATTGAGTTTGTCAAAAACCGTGGCGATCACAGGTAAAGTTGCTCTGTCCGACTCACTCAGCACTGGAAAGAACGTTCACACAGGTCAACCGAGTTTACATCCGTTCAGAACACAAACACGCTGCTAGGATAGAAAGAACTAACCCCAAAGGGCTCCCAGGGCAAACCTACCTCCAACGGGCATCCCAGAGAAATGGAATCGTTTGGAAACCTGGAGCCTAGAATTCACTCCCCAGCCCTTCCTGAGGACTAGAAAAAGTAGCTACGGAGGGTTTCAGCAGAAAGTGCTCAAAGCAGAGATCTATGTAGTGAGTGACTTGGATTCTGAAAAATGTCTGTTTTCAGGCTGGGGACGCCCTACCCTCAGATGCACCAGCTGTGTCTAGGTTGCTCTCACCTGGAACCATCCTATTTAGCTTTTTTCCCCAAGTCACTGCAAGTCATTTTGATAGTTCATTACCTTTCCAGAGGGTTAAATAATCCACCCTTCAAGTGAAGGATGAGGCTACAGGCTGTGCACAAAGCAGAAAAATATGGCCCAGCTCCCAAGAAAGAGCTTGGGCAGAGCACGCAGTCGTTAAGCGTTAAGTGGCTGCCTTCGGCTCAGGTCATGATCCCAGGGTCCTGGGATCGAGTCCCACATCAGGTTCCCTGCTCAGCGGAGAGCCTGCTTCTCCCTCTCCCACTCCCCCTGCTTGTGTTCCCTCTCTCGCTGTGTCTCTCTCTGTCAAATAAGTAAATAAAATCTTAAAAAGGGTGTGGGCAGCACAGGCCCAACCCTGGAATCAGACTGAGCGCGGAGGACTGGTCCACTTACTCTGCGAACAGACAGACAGAATGACCATCTTGCACTCCTTTCTCTGGAGGAGAAAGTCCATCAGTCTTCCTTTATCTGGCAAGAGGTTTACGATGGGCTGAAGCTTCACTTGGAGGTTCCAGAGGTAGCCTAGATGGAGGCGGCAGCAAATTTCATACAGGATGCAAATCAGAACAAAAGCCCAAAAGGTGATTCCCTGAAACATTCATGGGGAGGGGGGGCAATCCTGCAAAGCACTGATACGATCCTGACCTTATGAAGCCAAGCGCAGCCTAGGACACGCAGGCCGTGCCTGACGATGGTAAGACCGACAGCACCGTACAACTGCGTGCTCGCTGGCTCCTTACAAGGTGACCCTCTCCGATCACAGGGGCATCGGCAGTGGAGCTCCCGAAACGAAAGGGGGGCGGGGTGACTCAGAGCAGTTCCATCCCTATACCTAGCCCCCTTTTTACCCTTGAAGGTTGAACAAGATGCTAATGTGTGGTATGAACTTGGATCCTATACTCTGATTTCTCCCGCAATGGCTCTTCAGTCAAAAGGTAACTCTGGAGGCTCCCAAGGGAATTTCATAGTGCATCCATTCATCAATCCATGACTTTCCCGAACACCTACACTGCCAGGGAGTGCCTTTCTCAATTGGGGTTCCACAAGAGAATTCAACACTG